CCTCTTTCCTTTTAATATATTTTTATCAGTCTATTACTCTCTCCCAACCCAGGTTCAGGTTTTGTAAGCTAATTTAATGATTAGTGAACAAACTTGTAACAATATAATATAAGATTACTTATATACAAAATTTGAAATATATAAAAAAAATATGAGAGGTAAAAGATATTTTGAAGAAGTTTTTTGTTAAAAGAGATTTTTATTTTCAGTTACAACATGTCAAGTTAAAATTCAAATAATATTTTTTTTATATATTTTTTGAAAATATAATTTCAAATAATAATAACTATCTAAGAGATAAAATAACTAATCAAAAAAATATAATAAGAGTAAAAGTAAAATAAAAAATATCTTGCTTATGAGAAGAACAAAAAAAAAGAATCTTTGTTATTATTATTACTAATTATATTATTTTAACTCTGAAAAGCTTACACAAGTATAGAGAATTAGCTTTTTAAATTCTTTTTATTATTCTTTTATATTCTTTTTTCTCTTTGATTTTTACTCTCTTATAACTCTTTTATATTATTATTCCTTTTTAAGTAAATACAATTTTCATAAAAATTGATATAGATCTTAAATATTCTAATAATTAAAATATTATTTACTTATCTTGAATTTAAATAATTTATTAATGGAAATATCAAGTAATTAAACTTGTAAAATTAATTCATTTAGAATTATAATCATATTTGTATTATATTTATCAAATTTATACTTAATAGAATTAACAAAATGATTCTTAAAAGAGTCTAATACTAAAAGTAAATATAGATTTATAGATATTAATATATAATATATTCAAATATTCTCAATCTATTATAATATTTTGAATTAATTTGTCTATTCTTATTTATTTGCATGAATAATAATATTATTAAAAAAGTTTAATGAGGAATATTAAATATTATAATTGGAGATAGTAATTTGACTTATACTCAAATTGATTCAAGTTAATTCAAGTCAAACTTGACTCAAGCCATAATTTTTCTGACTCGAGTCTGTAATATTTTGACTCAAGTAATTACTCTGACTTGAGTCAAGTTTGACTCAAGTTATATAGTGGCTCATATATATAATAGAACTTAATTTCTATAACTATTAGTTTGAACAAAATAAAAGTGTTCAGTTAAATTTTGAAATTACTAATATTTTTTAAAAATAATTTAGCAATAGATAAATTATTTTGTAAAATTTATAATTAGTAGATTTCTTACATTAAAAAAACTTTTTTCTATGACAGATTCAAATTTAAATTACTAATTAAATATGTTTCACTCTATAAAATTTATCTATTTATCAATTTTCATAAAAATCAGCTTAATTTTTATAGATATTTAAGTTTCTAAGACTGAATCTATACTAGAAGCATTAATACATGAATTAATACTTATAATATAAATTCAGTTCTTCAGAGTTTCAAATCTTGGTGAATTTTGTGATAATTTTTATGAAAATTGGTAAATAGGTAGATTTTATAGAGTAGAACATTTTTAATCAGTGATGCAAATTTGAATTCATCATAGAAAAAAAGTTCTTCAATGTGAGAAATCTACTAATTGTAAATTTTGATTTAAATCACTTTATTTTACAAAATAATCTATTGTTAAATTATTTTGAAAAAATATTAGTGATTTTAATTAAGATTTCAAATGAACACTTTTTTATTTTGTTTGAACTAATAGTCATGAAAATAAAAATCCTAATAAGTTAATTTTAGTTTTCATTACATGTGTGAGCCATTGTAAATTACTTGACTTGAATTACCTGACTCTAGTCAACTTGTATTTTGACTCGTATTCTGACTTGAGTACTCTTCGAGTCAGAAAAATTATGACTCGACTTGACTTGAGTCAAAACGAGTTGATTCGAGTCCAATCACTAACTGGAGATAATTTGGTTATGTTTGCTATACAAGCCAAAGTAACATTAAACTGAGATTTTTCATGATCACAGGTGATGTAAATACTAACTGTATTATTCCTATTTCTTCAATTATAGTTTTACTAGGCAGATCAAACCAATATGGTGCTTCATCAATATTTCTGATTAGATTAAGTGAATAATTGTGTTAAATATGACAGTATAAAATAAATTGTAAAAATTCCTGTTTTTTTGATTCTAAGTTCTCTGGTAATTTCTGCGCAATTATAGTTCAATGACGATTGCTAAGTCTATGATGTCACATAAATCTATTAAGCCATTTATTGCTGAATTTGCATTCGTCACGTCAATATTGGAATATATTGTTAAAAAACATGAAGTTTTTGTCAGAGACTTGGCTTTAGTACGAACCATAATAAAAAAAAACAATGATTACGCAAATTTTTAATCCATAAAATCAATTCAACTTCTAATTCAGAATATTTTGGAAGTGCTCTGATATTAAAATGACGCATATGTGGTTGTACTGTTGCTAATTTATTATGATCATTACATCATGTTCGAATTTGATTGGGCTGAATATTAAATTTTTTAGATGTATTTCGAATACTTGCAAAAGGATTTTTATCCAAATAAGTAAGAATAGCTAATTTTTCTCGAACATTCCATAACGTTTTTTATTCATAGTAATTGTCGTTCGTTTTTTATAACACAAAAAAAGTCGAACGCGTAAAAAGAATTAAACAAAAACATTTTTATTTATATAATTCACGCTGAGTTCAATTATCTGGGGTGTAATAGTATTTTTCTTTGTGAATCCATTTTCGTCAAAGAAAATTGTATGCGAAATGTACAATGATGCTTGTAATTTATCTAATTGTCTAAGGTATACGTAATATGCAGATGATCTAATTTAGAAAATAACCTCTATAATACACCCTCCTTATAATGTACGCTCCTTACAAAAAACCTACCATTTAATATAATCAATTTCATACAACACACCCTCCCGGGTGTAAATCAATTTTTTTCTATGAAAAATGTAACACACCCGGAGTGGTCTATGCAGCAAATTACGGTAGTTGTGGCTCCCATACTAAGCGCGATTGTAAGAGCTCCGAAATAAAAATTACAGTCGGATTCTTCGGGTCGCCAAATTCTTCGGTATATAAGCGAATGTTGCCACTAGTGACATCTAGTTCGGCAAGCCATCTTTGGCGAAGCTACTGGTAGAGGTAACTGCTGATACGGGATCTTCGTCTAATTGTGCACTAATAGTTGCTGGTGATACTGTTAACAGCAAAAGCGTCAAGATAACGAGAAATTGAGAGTTTTTCATGATTTTAGATTTATAAATTATCATCTTTAATGATTCTAAGAAATACAAAAGAGTTCTTAAAGGAAGTTGATGTCGCAGCTTCATTTAACGTGCCTTAGAACTGTCGCTTGGCGAATTGTACCCCTTGAAAATTTAATTTTAAAATTAATACGGTATGTCATCGCATTTTACATGTATATGTATTTAGTGCGGCTGCCAAAAAAATTTTTTGGCTCCAAAATAGCGTGGTGCATGACATCTAGTGTAACTTAGCTGTAGGTTTGTTCCGGGATTTTAACCATAAATGGGATCTACACCGATCAATCAAGTCTCGCGAAACTTATAAAAAAAGATTCAACCTTTCATAGTATCGTTATCGTTGTGGATTCAAAAGCAGAAATATTATATGCTTAGTAAATTACCTCGCTTTTGATCCTATTCCATGATACTTTTGGCGAATACTGTCAAAAAGATTTTACTTTGTGCAAATTTCGTTCTTTATTTACACCCCAAAAAGAAATTCCCAGGAAATCGTCAAAAATAACCATTTGAATTAAAGTTACAAAATGTAAACACTGAAACATTTGTATTTGGTGGAGAACGGAAAATCATTTGAAAAAATGTCTTAGAATAAATTTTTTCTACTTTTTCTTTTTCATCTATAACCAACTTTTTTAAAGAAAAATTTTATGCAGCTGAGATTTCCTTTAATATAATTGAATATCCTTTTATTATTAATATGTTGAAAACCTTTCATCCATCATATAATTCACCTTCTCGTAAACGACTTGCAACTATATTGTTCAAAAAGAGACAATTACACATGCCACACAATTGTTACTATTATTTCAATTGGCCGGTCTAATCTCCGGGACGAATCCACTGTATTAAGGTTACAACGCAAAATCGAGTTTATGGGAGCAACCTTATTTAATGAAAAACAACACACTGTTGTAATTATATTCAAGAAAAGTGGTGGGATTGGAAGTTTGCACTCTTGATTATCACAGATTGTGCACTGCCACCAACTGCAGAAAAAGAAGAAATATTGTCTAAGACAGTCGAGAGTTTCAAGAAAGTGAGAAAGTCTCTGACAGATACTTCAATGCATTCCAAATACATACAGATGAATCACTTAATATATAGTAATTTGTGTTGGAGCATTAAACTTTATTATAAAGTGAGATTGATTATACGTATCGAGTAGCAATCACATATATTTTCTTTGTTAAATGCATAAATTAATGTTTGTCTCTTTCCTATCCAAGAGAAACGATTGAATCTTAAATAGGAAAACAGTGCAATGGATGTCTTGTCATAGCAAAAAAAGAGAATTTCAAACAAAGCAAAAAAAAACTGTGAATAGTTTCACGATTTGAGAATGACAAAAAATTTGAATGAGTTTGGAAACGTCTTAACGAGATCATAAACAATTTGCTAAAAAAATATTTTTAAACTTTGCCGTTGATTACAAAAGCTTCAAAATGAGGTTTTCTTTCAAGAAGCAATGTCACCAGTCTGGGACAAGTTTCATAATGAATTCGCTTTTCTTTACAAAATGGAAGTAACCGAGCCTCATGACGAGCCAGCACAGTAAATTTTATTTCTGCATTTCACAACCACTAGAGGTGTGAATTGAGAACCAAGACCTCCCAGACTTAGAGGAAAGAATGATCACACTAGATCCGAATAAAATAAAACAAGCAGAATTTATCAGTTTTGTTACATGTACAAGAAAATTTCAAAGCCATCCATGAAAAGGTAAATGTTATAAACTTCTCTGAGTTCTGGAATTTGCGAACACTGTGGCCATATCTATAAAAAATAAAATCCAAAAGTTTTTATTATTGGGGCTGTGATTATGACCTAAACCTATACTTGCTGCTCAAATTACAAATTATTATAAAAGCCCAAATCCCAAATCCAAATCTCAAAGTCGTCCTAAATTTATATTTTAATAATTTTATAAATTTTTAATAAGCTTTTATTTATTCGATATTTTTTTCATTTTTAGCCTTGGGCTTTTGGGCAGCAACTACAGTCCCCCGGAAAGTAATGTCGATTGACGTTTAAATTAACATTAAAAATCACAGAAAATGTTCACTTTTCTGAAATTTTTATGGTAACTATAAATCGATCGGCTGAATACTTTTATACATGTATAATACTCCAAAACCAGTTCTTAATAAAGTTTTGAGATATTAAAGGTTTTTACAAACGGTTCGGTTATGGATTGCCACTAAAGAAAGCTCAATAATTCGAAAACTACATTATTAAATCAGTTTTTGCCCATTAAAAAAATTGTTTCCCCGATCTATATCTAGTTAATTCCAAAAAATCAGCCTAAAATATTAATTATTCTTAAAATATTTAAAAAAAGTAAAAAAAAAATATATTAAATATGGTTCAATTTTAAAATCTTTCAACTCAATGTAGAAAAAAAATTTTCGAAATTTGACCAGTAACTTTGTTCTTTATGATAAGCTCTATAAAGTTACCAGTCAAATTTTGTCTCTACATTAGTTGAAAGATTTTAAAATTGAACCAAATTGATTACTTGAACCATATTAATATTTCTAGGATATAAAGTCCTACTTGTATATATTACAAAAATAAAATTTTAAATTAAATTATTATGTAAAAAAAATTATAATAAAAAAACCGTCGGCCATTACTTTCCGGGGGGACTGTATACATAGACCAGGATGTTAACAGTGTATGAAACATTTTTATGATTTCTCACCATCCACAGACTGATAGAGCTAAATCATACCGCCTACCTCCTGGGATTCTTGCTGAACCTGTGAAATATAGGTTTAATTTATGCGTTAAATAAAGTGATTAATTCTGGTCTGGTTTTTTGATTGACTAAAAATATAAACGACCAATATTTTCATACAACTTGTTGACAGAGCAACATAGCATAATTTTTCATACAACTTCGAATTTTTCAAAAACATAAATAAAAGTTTGGATTTTATAAAATAGCACTATGGCGTTGTAACGCGGGACCCCCGATTTAATAGTATTGGGAGCCGAAAATATAACCTTTGGAACCGTATCCTAACCCTATACTCTTAGTAAATGGTGACCATGGCGTTATAATGCTTATGCGATAAAATATAAAAATCTAAAAGTTGTATATTTTTAAATATAAGAACTTTACGCATCTTTTTGAAATTTAATATAAAAAAGAGCCTGCTATCAAAGAGTTATTCTCTAAAAGGTTGAGCACTGGACCAATTGGACTTAAAAAATTTTATAAGTCCAGTTTGAAGTCAAAATGACTGAATACCCAACTTTGCCTATAGGATTCTGAGATGGATTTGTGATAACTCAAATAACCAATGAGTTCTTCCATTTTATTCAATCTTTGAATTAATGCAAAAAAAATTCTTTCAAGAATTCAAGATAATCCGCATACACACAAATATACTTGTTCGGTTTTTGAAACTTCGTAGTTTCTTCAAACTGTTGGAGAGCAACATAGCACAAAAAATTCATTTAAACATTACGATGACAATGAGAGACGATAAAGATACGAGTGAAGATTTTCAAAGTCTTGAGATTCGTTTAAAAATTCCCTTGAGGTTTTAGTTTTCATGAGCTGTCATATCAAAGATTCTAAATTCTTATCTGCCATTTTATTTCGTATAATTTTTAGAGTTTATTTTTTAAGTATTACTAGCCCAATGCAATTCTTGAGTATATGAAAACAGTTTCGTACATGTAAAAAAAAATAGCGATCAACAAAAAAAATAATTTATCATTTAGACCGTCGCCTGTAGGATTCGAACCTACGCTCCCAAAGGGAAATGGCTTAGCAGGCCATCGCGTTAACCACTCCGCCAAAGCGACTTCATTGATTATAATAACGGATTTTGTTATCTGATAAAGTTTTTCTTCATTGTAAAGCATTGAATATTCATCGAGAACGGAACAAACTAACGAAAAAAGTATCGCATTACAACATGCAATGTCAATCGATAAATCTTCCAGAAAATGATATGAAACACCTTTATAATTAAAATTCATCAATTACGTAGTCCCATTGTCATTTTACTATTACATGAGAGGAAATTTCAAATTGTGGAGTGAGGAAAAAAATTTATTACACAAAAATCGTTGACAATGGAGAATTAAAAGCCATTTTTTAATCAAACGATCTTTGTGACCGTAACGCTCTTTTAGAGGTATTACAATAAAAAATATTACTTTAATTACATGTAGACAGTAATCCAAACTATTTCTTTCAGTATCTGATTAATCATACTCGAATCTTTGATAGAAACCGCATGAATGAAAGTGTCAGGCGACAATGTACATGTACAAGGTTTGTAAAACTCATCTGACATTTGAGATTTACAACAATGACACATCCCCGGTTTTTCATTTTGACCGAGACGTGAACGCTTCGATAGAATGTGCTAATACTCCAATATTTGCATGAATCGCTCTTTGCACATGCAATTCTTCTTTGTTTGAGTTTTTTTCGTAGACCACAACGACACAACGAAATAAAATGGTCAAAGTCTTGTTTTTGATGTGCATCTCTTGAATGGTGCATCTTCTACTCTACGCTTCTTTGGCAAGCTGTGGTTGTTTCTTCTTTGTCATTGTATTACTTATCTGACGGATAGACGAGATAATATGTGGCTTTTTGGTGCTGGTATCGCAGGAAACTTAATTTTCTTGAATAAATTCGAAAAGTCAATGATTTTTGCGGACAATTCATTTCTGAGTTACCTTAAAAGTTTAATATTAAATATATCGCAGTCATATCGATATATTCAAACTTAGAAATCAAAATTATTATAATCTTGCATCCTGTATGTATGGTGCATTCATTCACTCGCACAAATCCAGCACTTATCATCGTCATCATGGCTCCAATTAATCTGCAAGTGTCCGTTTCCTCTATCCCATTCAACGTAGTGTTCACATTCGAATGCATGAGATGCTAGCCAGTTAAGACAGCAAGACCAATATCCCATTCATCTACAATGCATCTAGTCATGCATAAAGGATAGAGCATTATCATACATCGACTATCAAATCTTGTCGGAAGAGGAAAGATGCAATAACCAATCATTTGATACCACGAATATTTCGAGATGAAATTTCATATGCTCAGGTATGACCAACCTTATTTAGCAACAGAGTAGAGATAAGTCAAAATACAATCATTTGGTCCAGATAGAAATAGAGAAGGAGCTTTTCTTCGTCGTCGTCAACAATGTACTCACCAAACTTTCCGTTACTGGAAAATTTTCGTGACTGTGTAAGTGAGTGTGTGTGCACAATGTTGTCTTACTATATATGAATGCAATGCACGCCATACAAGAATGACGAGGGATTTCTCCTGGATATTACTCTTCTTACACGCTGTGTTCTACATCGTTAAAACTTGGATTTTTCATGGATAATTTGACTTTCTACAATATCTGACAGCGTTAAACCGTTTTTAGTATTAATGCGTCTGATTAATGCTTACAAATAACAAATAATTGAAAAAAGCAAACAGAAAACAATCTCGGTGGGATGGCGATAACAAATAAAAAGTACCAAGCCACCGAAAATCAAACAAAATTGATCTAAAAAATTATAGCTATGCATACAAGACGCCGAAATAAGGGGGGCAGAGTTGAAATTGAAAGAAATAAAGAGGGAAGGGGTTTTAAATGAAACTTTTCATTGTGGACAAGTGAAAGATGCAATTGAGTGTGTGGTGGTTCCCATAATTGACTATCTAATTATATGTAATACTCCTGAGTTAGGCGCACTTTTTTGTTTGGTTGATTCTTCATTCAAGCAATGGTATATAGACACAATGAAGGATGGTCGTCTGCTTGTTTTGCATTTTGCTTATCGAAGCGAAAGCATGAGTTTTTACTAATCATGCCTAATATTTATATGAAATCTTATATTGAATTGACAGCACAATCAAAGGCAACGCTGCTCGTCTCTCAATCTGGTAATATAATGCAGTCAAAAAGAAATATACGAAAGGAAGAGCAATGATGATTTATTTTACGCACGGCAAACAATTTGAATATTTCTTGTGATCTAACCATATAATATTTTGTTTATATGCAGGCATTGCACGCATGCGTGAAATTTTACTCTAAAACTAAGGAGATCATTGTTCTTTATTGGTGCAAAAACATATTTACTAATTGATTGAAGTTTATTTACGCCATTTTACTAACTTGATTCGAAATCAAACTTTTTTGCAATGGTGGTGGTGGTGGTGGTGCAATCATTCTGTCACATCAAATATTCGGTTTCTGAAATCTTAGAGCATGGATTGTTTTTAGGATCCTCTTCTGGAAAAAAAATGATACGTGTACATGGGCATGCAGCGAATTTTATGTCAGACCATTCGTATGAGCGATTTTGCAGCAGGGTTGAAACTGTTCATTCCGAATTTACTCTATATCGTTGGAAAATTTTTATACCGATACAGAATCTCGAATATTATTATTTATTCTTAATATGGTATCTCACCATGGTCAAAAAAACATAAACGAGACAATAAAAATACAAAATGCAAAAGAATATATATGTATTAGCGTTCTGTACGAATTTATGATGTATATGAACGAGTGAATGAATGAATGAAGAAGGATGAATAAGGAATGAATGCGGATGAATGAGGATGAAGAAAGAGTGAATGCGGATAAAGAAAGAAATAATGGATTGTTCTATCTGGAATGGATCGAAGAGAGAAATATGAACAAGGGAGTGCAATGTGAACGGTAAATGTCTTTGATGCTAATTTGTCTATTTTCTAATAATAAATGCAAAAAAATGAGGTGAAAAAGAAGTTGCCATGTAATAAATTGGTAGTGATTTTAATGAATTACAAATGTAAGAATTTTTCCATTCATACAAGAGACAAAGCCAGCCAACCAACCAAACCACCAATTCTCATTCTATTTCACACCAAACACTACTATTTTCATGTAATAGTAATGATGATACGTAGTAATGATATTGTCATTAATATAAAGTTGATATAATTAATATTAATATATATATATATATAATAAAAAAAAGAATGTAATAGTAAACAAAGATAGCAAATGATTATTTATTATATCCATTTTGAATTAATTTCAAATATTCGAACACCATTTGATATCTCCATCCGGTCCAATCCTTTTCTTGTGGTGGCCAACTTATACAATCCAAAGGCTCTTTAAACAGCCGTAAACTACGCAACTGATTTGGATCGATAGACATCTCGGCGGCGATATCATCCACCATACATGTTTTTCGAATCACTTCCTGCTCATCGTAATACCAACCGATCATGTTGTATTTGTAGGCTAATTCGAACTCTTCGATGTCTTCCATGAATTGTCGTAGAAATTGGCGTTTACGATTCGTCCACGAAGGACGTTGGGTCGGAACCATGGAGCTGTATTCGAATTCAGCAGGCATGACGTCGGCAATCCAGTAAATGTCGTAGTTGTTTATTGAGATGAAAGGAAGGCCTGCAAGAACACCTTTGGGAATTTTCCAATCATGCAGAAGACGATGTTTGCTATTGATTTTATTATGTGTATGGTTAGAAAAATTTCGGATTTTTTGTAAACCGAGAAAAATCTGATATTTACCTAATAATACGATCTAGTAAACAATAACGACAAGCACGGACACGAAAAGCCCAATAAACTTTAGATTCCATTCCACGTCTTCCGCGGCAAAACTGACATCTCGATAACCAGTATGCTAATAATACATATTGTTGCTCGGACATTCCTTTCGGTGGTGTATTACGTGGCAGGTAAGGCAGCCGTGAAGTTCGCCATATTTCTTGAGTCAGTGTGGATTGTGTGGGAGTGAGTAAGAAACGAAAGTATCGGCAGACGCGTAGTAATGCGAATAATTCGTCAGGTGATAGAAATGAACAAACTTTTTGAAAAATTTCTGGGGGCATTGCTATGGCCGGTGGTAAATTACCGGATTTCTGTAAACCATTTCCCATGATTGCTATGTATTGGAAAAATGACGCTAACTAGGATTTTGTATGTATGCGTATGTGATAGACTATTATTCGAAAAATTATGTGTGTCTATGGAGTTGATGTATTGGGATTATTTCTCGCTCGTTCGGAATATGATTGAATCTATGTATCAGTTATGCAATGTCTAATTATATTTACGAGTTTTATAGGAATAAAGAAATTATTTTTGGTAAGTTCAAGTTGTAGTTGTAGTTTTTGTTGTCTTTGTGTTTTATTTTTATATATCAATCAAATATCTAGTTATCTATTTGTTACTAAACTTATGACAATGACAAGGACGACACAAAAAAGCAAGTTTTGATTATTATTGTTGTTTAAAAAGATTGTTGCCTTAGTAAAATGTGCATTTGCACTCGTCCTTATTATTTATGTTTTTACTCCCGTATTATAATCATTGAATCTTGTGGCACACTCCTCGATTTTCCCAATACAGCGCAAAATATCAAAAAAAACTTGCTCAATAACAGTAGTCCAATATAAAAAAAATAAACAATAGGAAAAGTCGCACGCACATACACTATTGAAAATGGCAATATATTTCTTACTGTATAGTAGCAAAAAGAAATACCTGGTCATTCAATCGATACAGCCAAGGGGGGTTTTGATGATGCTGTAGAATAATATATTCGTCGGTCTCTCACTTGTTTTAACGCAAAGAAAACGAAATAGATATTATTGATGTATGTGAAAAAAAAGAGAGGATAATTCCCTTTTGCGTGTATCTGGTTTTTTTTATAACGAATTTTTTTTAAAAAAAAAAGAATGTAGGAATGACTGACTGGACTGGATGATGGCGATAATGATGATGACGATAGAGAAGATGCCGACGGAGAGAGAGAGAGGAGAGAGGAGAGGAAAGAAGAGAAAAAAGAGAAAAAAGAGAAAAGGTGTAATTTTTAAAAGATATAGCTCAGAAGACTAATAAATTATAATTTATTAATAATTAATAATAACTAATAATAACTAAACAGTTATTAGTATTATCCACATAATTCCTTAATATTTTTTTATTTTAATACATATAAATACGTACACGCATCAATCAGTCGATGATAAATTTAGATGCTTAATGGAATCATCATTATCATGTCAATGTGTGCACCTATAAGAGTAATAGAGGAACAAGATTGGTGTAAACATCAACAACATCCACAAATCGTTGTGCGAATTATTTATTTTTATTGTTCTCATTACACACACGTTAAATTGATTTAAATAATCTACATACACTTCTTTACAAGTATATAATTTGCATACGTATATAAGCAAAGATTTCCCCCTCAGTACATGTATATTCCAGACAAGATTAAAAAAGAGAAGAATCTCTGCGTGTCAGTATATGAAAGAAAGAAAGAAAAACTGTTTATGTTTGTTTATCGCTACGTTCTATGAAAACTAATTAATGTTTTTATGTTTATCGCGGGAGAGCGTGTATGGCATATGTTGAAATGTTATTCGAGACGAGGAATTTGTAATGATTGGTTCTGACGACTATTTTTAGTGTATCATTCTAAATGTACATGTAACATTAATTTAATTATTAATAATATGCCAATACATTTGATCGACTTTCTATCGTTATATATATCCGCCGAATTTCTAAATCCGTTATCTTTCTTGGCCTTATATGTACGCACCCATTATGTGGCGGTGCCGTAGGACCATGTGGTAGTCTGTGTCATAGTATTAGAGCAATTAGAGACGATTTTAGACTACATATCAATGATGTTTTTTTTGGAAATATGCAAATTTCATGTTTCTATGATCACCACGAAGATTCTTTAAAAATGACAACAACGCAACGACACAGGTTAATGTGCTTCTTTCTCTTCCATTCTTTCATCGTGGTGACGATGATGCTCTCTTGCACTCTTTTTGTATCCTAAATTGATTCCGTCATGTTTCTGAAAATATCGAATAATTTCAACTAGAGGAGCAAAAATCATAAGGAATGAGGAATTTGAAAGAAACCATTCACAACGATAGCGCCATTCATAAAGAATCACAAAAAAGGAATAGTCGATTAGGTTTAATGTTTGACAAGAATTGTGATGAAACTTTCATAATTCACAACCTTATTATTTGTGTCCTCGGTTGTTTTGGTCGGAAGATTAACCTTTTTGTGTCAATAACAACGGTCTGGAATAATCCCTCGTTCTTCGGCCAATCACCAAGCCAGAAATTACGTGTGCAAGGATTCATTTCAAAAACATCGTTGTTATTTGTTTCTTTTTTGGTTACAGTTGTGAATTATCGTTATTGTTGTGGTGAGTCTTACAATGCACAAAAACATACAAACAAACATTAACGTTAACATGATAAGTCACGAAATAATATCGACCAATCAAAGACTTTGATCATTATTAAAGGTCAATGATTCGAGTTTACGTCATATTGCGATAAATTATCCAATAAAATAAAAACCAGAAAGAAAAAGAACCGCTGCGGGTATCATCTTCAGATGTTTCTGCTGTAGTCGAAGAAAAGCACCTTTTCGGCCATTCGACAATTTTGCGTTATTTCACGTTCTCCGCAGTATTTCGCCTTGCCTTTCATGTGTAGGTCGATCGGTTTGATTCAATATGGAGTATAACAATAACATTTTTAAAAAACCGGTTATGATATATGATCTTGTGCACTATTCATATATTATTATTAAAGTACAGTCGCCGCAAAAAGTAACGCCCGATTTTTTTAAAAAATGAAATTTTCGATTTATTTCATTTCTGCTTTAT